CATAATTGATCAACAAAAGCTTAATAATTTCATAGACAATTAGAATTGATATTGTATTTTAATCCATTATATTGGTCGATGTTGGTTTGTGTTAGATGTTTTGTCATATAATGAAAAGTCTTTCATGAAATGTTTTAGATGTTTTGGTTAAGAAAAATATTTTAAAATTCAAAAATATTATTTATAGTGGACTATTAAGTTGTGAAAATGATTTTATTTCTTAAATTTAATTATTTTGTTTGATAACATTTATTAGAAGTATATTAAAATTAATTTGGTAATTCTTTCGTTATTTTTTTAATTTAAATCATAAATAATAATATTAACACAAAACTTAGAGTTTTTGGTCATTTTATATCAAACGCGTCTAGATACAAAGACATAAACACCAAACGAACATAACTGCATCCAACTATAATTTCTGGACGCATTAACCAAACACACAAACGAACATCATCTGGATGCTGCGTCTGGAAACACAAACGAACAGCAGCTAACAACATTCCATTTGAATTCGGTTGAAAAGAAGCTAGTTTTATAGCTAGAGATATGAGAGGAAGAGGACAAGTATTTAAACTGTACGGTATTATATTAAATAAGTATTATTTTCATGAATAATCTTGAAAAACAACAAAAGGATATATGTTACACAAATAAGAAGCAACAGGCAAAATTATTGAAAACCTTATTTTTCTCTTTTGATCACTAACAGGATCCTTCACCACAAAAGAGAAGAAGAGAACAACACTATGAACACTTATGAAAGAAATGAAAAATGACTAGGTTTGATGTAAGAACAGGTTTTTTTGATATGTACAGTTTCTTCTATAGTTTCTTCTATAGTCAAAACACTACAGCACCTAAAGCCAATGTACAACTTCGTCGTCCTTTGACTCCTCTTTATAGCAATACACCATTCCTAATCAAGTCTTCCTTCATATCTCTGAGAACACAAACAAGAGTTGCATCAGGTTAAAGCTTTAAAGTTGCAGAGAAGATTAAACTCATACAAAATACTATCGAAAAATACCTGCAGCGTGGTATGGTGCAGATGGGATCTTGGCAATGGTATGCGTGAATCCTTATTATCTTCCACATATTGTTGCAAATCTTGCAAGCTCCTTGCCCTTTGATTTTGCACTCTACACTGTGTTTAAACAGTGTTTTAACATCATTGCATTTCGAGTATGAGCACGACGACTGAGTGGCCGTGGGCCGGCACAAATGAGCATGCAACAAAGCGTCCAGTATCTCAAGAACCTACAAGTAGGTTGCTTAATTCAGAAAACAGGTC